GCGATTTCTCCATTCTCATAATTTTTCAAAGATTTTTCAAACACTTCTTCTACTCTTTATTGTGCTTCTTTGTGCTAATTTTGGTGGCTGTTCCTTGCTTATTCGCTTAGAAAAACGAGTTTATCAAAATTTCTTGGAACTCTTTCAAATTTCCCGCACCAACGCCCGCATTGGAACGAACATTGAAACTTTGCTGGAGCAGGCTTTTGATGGGTCTTCAAGTGTGTATGGATTTACTCTGTTGAGCATTGAATAAGATGGAAATAGTTTAGGCCGCATGCATGAACATCTGCGCTAGGAAGGAGATGGGTGGAGGAGGTAGCTTCAAAATTTTTGTTGTGGATCAAGCGGTTTTAATTGAGATTGACTCCGCTCTTCTCCGGACCCCATACGATTTCCCCTTTGCTTTTCCACAAAAACGAAATCCAGCTTGCCTTCCGAAGACCTGCCGCCGAGGTCTGTTGAAACTACAAATGCAATGCACAAAATACTCACTGGACCAATAAATTGGAAAAATGCTTCTGTGGAGGTGAAGCTGACGAGCTACGCGTGCATCTCTTGAGATGGATATTACTGGCACTGGAGGGCGGTAACGGGAACAGAGAGCGGCAGTGCTGAAAGCGTTCATATTGAAACAAAGGAATATATTATATTTAGTTCAAAAAGTGAAGCACTAGCTAAGCAACCTAGAAACATGTATTTCAAGATCTACGTCCAGTGAAAATCGATAAATTGATCTCCATACTTAGCAGTGCTAATAGAATGACAGGTATTCCGTGAAAACTTTGTTCCCTATGTGACTAACCTTCCTGTGGTTGTGATAAGGACAATAGCGCTAGCCTTACAGGACACTGCTGCCGAAACGGCACCAATAGCTGTTGTATGCGTCATATCTGTCGGTTTTCTAGTGTTGAACATGATTTCCTCGTAGAACCTCGTGTAATAAAAAGCAAGCTCTGCTTCCTTGCAGATCTGAATGGATAATAATTGACTTGAACATGAGATTTGACTAAATTCTTATTCTTTTGTTTAGAATATTTTTGATTGAACGTATGTTTCTTTTCAACTTAAATTCATAAAAGCGAAATCATAAGTGGGAATATTAATAGAAGTTGAATAATTATTTCACAAACGAACTGAATGCATCATTTTCAAAGCTTCGATAGGGTAATCTCCTTTAGCAGTTTCACCAGACAACATCACGCAGTCTGCACCGTCGAGAACAGCATTTGCTACATCACTACCTGCAACGGTAGTGATGTAGGGTAAGATAACTCATTACCCTTTGTGATTTACATGCCTACTCATAAACAATTTAGTATTATTTAACTTACATTCAGCTCTAGTTGGTCGTGGCTTAGAAATCATGCTCTCCAACATTTGAGTAGCACAAATTACTGGTTTCCCAGCAAGGTTACATTTGGCTATTAGCATCTTTTGAGCAAGGAAAACCTGGAGATCTTCTTTAAATTTAATTCTTGTTAAGAGGAACTTTTACAACCTTCTCTGGTGCAATTTCAATTCCAAGATCACCGCGTGCCACCATAATTCCGTCCGAAGCAGCAACAATTTCATCCGCGTTGTTTACTCCTTCTTCTGTTTCGATTTTGGCAATAATTTTGATATGTTTGCCCCTAAATACATATGCATGTGCTTAGTCCAGTAGACCATCCCTCGACAGCAATTTTCTTTGGTGAAATTTCTGAAAAATACATGTGACGCACTCTTCTCCAAGAATCCTTCTGATCTCATGGATTCCTTGAGCGTTTTGTATGAAGGATGCAAAGATAATGTCCACATTTTGCTGTACACCAAACAAAAGGTCAGCCTTGTCCTTCTCCGTAACAGCTGGCAGATCTACGCTTGTTCCAGGCAGATTTACACCCTTAAGGAAACACTGAATTAAGATTTTTTCAAGAAATTGCGTCTACTGTTCAAAATTTACGAGTTCTAGAAATCAATCAGAGTTGTTAACTACTCTTGACCAGATAAAGTACTCTAGGAGCCTTGAAGTAAAGTAAGAGTGCAAAAGAAATGGGAAATGCAATTGGCTTGTTTTCGTTTCTAAAATGGGTGTTGTATTATTATATGTGCACTCCATGCCGTAAAGGTCATACCTGCTGCTTCTATACTTCCAAGAGTATTTGATCACAACTTTCAGGTCTCAAAAATAGTTACCACTGACCTTCCTATTACCTAGCATACCACCGTTTTCTACTTCGCACATTACAGAATTTTCGGAGACTTCTTCGACCAGCAACGAGATCAGTCCGTCATCTATGAAAATACGGGAGCCCTAGAGATGGAAGTGCCAGAAAAAAATCAGCATAATTCCATATTTACCGTATATCATACATACCTTCTTGACAGCACGAGGTAGATTTATATAGTCCACATAGAGATGAGTTGCTGTTCCACTCTTCTCTACTCTCTTATCAGTTGAGAGTTGAATGCTTTTCCCTTGATGAAGAAGGATTTCTTTCTTCTGCAAAAAAAAAAAAACACTTTATCACTAACTCTATCCATCAAATTAAAGAGGTAACAAACCCCTGCCAGGAAGCC